GCTAACCAACCACCAAAAAAACCTGCACTACAAGTGCCTAAAAAACACCATATGCTCATTAAAAACAGGTCGTTGTCATCACATAATTATCATTATTATTATTATTATTATGGATATAAACAACAAAAAACTTGATCCCAACGGTGATGTCAGACTGCGACCCAACAACAACAACACTAGTCGTCGACAACAACAACAGCTAAATGATGCCAACAATCAGCAAAATAAGAGAAACAGTCTATCGCTGCCATCGCTACTTATAAGTAGTATTAGTAGTCCATCATCGGTAGTGTCATCATCAGATCCAGAAGCCATAACCAACAACATATGGACCAACAACTACTACCACACCAACAACAACAACAACCATAACCATAACCATAACCATTACCAATACAATTACAGCAATGTATCTCAAGCTGCCAACCAAAGTCATACATCTAGACTACAACCTATCAATGGATCTATTGGTGGTAACGATGATATCAACAACAAAAACAATTTCATAAATCAAATTGTTTTACACACCACTGCTGCTGCACAACAACACCCACAACAACAACAACAACTGATCTCTTCTTCAACTTCATTATCATTGACTACCACTACCAACAACACCACAACCCCTACCACTACTACACCCGTCTATCAAATGGTGTCCAAACCCAGAGGTTTCTGTATTATCATCAATAATGTCGACTTTGATGATAATAAATATCCGCGACGTGTCGGCTCCGATCACGAGTGCCAACGATTGTCCGCAATATTTACGAAACTTTACTTTGAGGTCAGTTTTTTCAATTAAAAAATTAATTAAATTATAATTATTTAAAAATATTTAAAAAAAAAAAAATTATATAATTTTTGAATCTGGAAATTGAAAAAGTTTTTATTATTATTAGTATTCAGAAAATTTAAATATTTAATTAATTAGTTTCTAATTTGTCAACAATTTTTTGTTTCTTTATAAATCTAATTAATAATTAAAATGTTTTATTATTATCACTACTTATTAGTTAATTATTAAAAATAAATGATAATAATATRCTATACAATACTATATATAATAATAAATTTTTTTATAGCAATAATGTTAATAAATTTATTATAATATATAATATATAACTGTTTTAATTAATACAGTAATAATAATTGCATAAATATTTATATATATTTTACTACGATTTCTTATAAATATTTATATATWTATATATGATTTAATTATTTTGTTTGTTTGTTTTTTTTGTATTAAGTAATATATCTAYTATATAATAGATATTTTATATGATATAAAATTAATTGTTTWAAAACAATAAAAATTTATAAACTACTTAAATATCAATGTACTGAAAAATATTATATAGATGTTTAATRCTTTTTTATTATCAACTTTTTATTAATAAAATTACAATATTAWATATAATTTATTTTAAACATATGATAATTATTTAAAAATTTAAAAATGATTTATATATWACCAATAATAATATAATAATTATGAATATGTTTGAACAGAAAAATTAAGTTAAATATCGTAAAACTTATTGTTTTTTGTTTGTGTGTTTAACACCAAAAATAAAATTAYAAATAAATTTACATTTAATTTATTTTTAAGTAAATAGATATCATATATTCAATATATATATATATATATAATCAATATATTTATAATAAAAAATAATCTTTAAATATCTATTTATAAAATTTTATGATTTTTGTTTAGTATAAAAAAATCATCTATTTGTTATTASTTAACTATATCAATTTTATTTATTTTTAAAAATAATTATAAATTTATTATTATAATGGACTAAACATTTTATTATCCATTAATTTAAATAATGATTAGCAATCATTTTTTAATTTATAAAAAACAAATAATAATAATTAACTATAAATTTAATATATGTTTTAGTACACATTAGTAGCATTTAATTTTTTCCTGTTTATATATATATAAATAAATATATAATCATAATTATAATTTTACAATAAAATTTAATATTGAAAATATGTAAATAAATAATTTTGCAATTTTAATATACAGTATATATAAGCAATAAAATAAACATTTGTCATTGCATTTAATTATAATTAATTGAAAACTAAATATATTAATATTTTTTATATAAAAAAATATTAATATATTTTGATTTCAAGTGTTAGTAGTAATTATACTGATTTTTGATAATGATTTTTGTTTAGTTATATWTATAGTTTCTAATACTGTATTTTAGATATAAATTTTAATATTTCCTTATTTTTTAATTACATTTTGCTAATTATTATTAACTTTTTTTTTATATAGACATTATTATTATTATTATTATTAAACACATCTACAGTATATATTACTACTATTATTATTATTTTTTTACGTTTGATTAATAATATGAATAATAATAATAATATATGAATATTAATATAGATAATAAAATTTATTTATTAAATTATATTATTATTATTATATCATAATAATAAATTTGAAATTAAGCCAAATTTAATTCAATGCCTAATAAAAAATTATTATTATTATTATTAATAATAAATATTTATTTAATATGTAATTTATTATTCAATTATTTACATAATACTATATAAATATAATAAACATTAATATCTCTTTTAATTTGTTAATTGTTAACACATTTTGTATATATATATATAATTTAATATTTATTATACCGTATCTCTAAAAAAATAAATATAAAAAAATTAACAATAATTATTTTAAAAATGTACATAGATGAAAAATATTATATAAATAGATAAATATAAATATCATAGATAAATTTTTATTTATGACCTAGATATAAATGCATTTCATAAACATGCAATATTATATTTTTTWAAAAAAATATTATTTCACTAGTAATCTATATTTATATATTTGTTGAAACATTTATCTTAACTTTATTTTTATTTATTTTTTTCAAAAAAAAACTTTAACTTAAATCTGATAAAACATTTTTTTGACAGTTAACTATTAATTGATGTTATTAGCAGTAAATCATAAATAAAATAATAAATTTAAATTATTTGTAATTCATTATATATATACATATTTTTTGGTATATATATATATAATATATATATATATTATGCAATAGTTAAAAAAATAATTGAACTATAAGTGAGTGTCAAATGTTATTTCAAATTTTTATTTATTTATTTTTGTTTAACATTTCACATTTAAGTTTTKTGTGTGTAATTTTTGAAAAAATAATAATAATAATAATTAGCAATTTTTTCAATACTAAATTACTTTTTTTTATAAAAATCATATGACAATCGTTGAAAATAAATAAATAAAATAAAAAAAAAATAATATAATTTATTCATCAAGTTTTTCAATTCAAATAACTATTTTTTTGAAGAAAAATTATTTATAGATTTTTTATTTCAAACAAATAAAAACTTTATTATCTGACAATTTATTATTATATTTTATTTAAAAAAAATAAAAATAAATGTTAATTAGAAATAATATTATTATTATAAGTGTTAATTTTAATTAGTAATAATAATATTAATGTTTTTATTACTTATTATTCAGTCATATAATTTATATATATATATATATTTATTTATTGTTAAAAAACATTTAATATTTCAAAAAAATAAATAAATCTTAATTTCTAATTACAAAATATAGTAATTACTAATAAACAAGTAATTTATTTATTTAGCTAAATATCAAAAAATTAATAATTGGAAAAAAATCAAATAATTAAATTGATATATATATATAAACCCAATAAAAACAATTAATTAATATTATATTATAGTTAATATCATCAAAAAAAAAAAAACAAAACAAAAAAATACTTATTATTATTATTAGAAATAAATACTTAAGATTTAAAAATTAATTTTTTAATATTTAAATAATAATTTAAATGATAGGTTCGTATCAAACAAAACCAACGACACCGGGAACTGTTGGCAACCATGCGATTGGTGGCCAAAGACAATGATCTCAGTCGTCACGACTGTCTGGTAGTGATTATACTTAGCCACGGAAACTCTGGTCAGATGATTGCCGCCGATAATCAGCCGATACAGTTTGAAACCGTACTACAGATATTCAACAATCAAAACTGTATTCAATTGATTAAAAAACCGAAAATGTTTTTCTTTAACTGTTGTCGGGGATCGACACTGGATTTTGGGCCACAATTTACGGCCATAAGTAACGCACAAATTAACGGTTATAACAACAATAGCGGCGGAGGCGGTAGTGGTGGTGGTGTTGGTGTAGGAGATGACGATTATAGCGGCAGTGGTGGCGGCGATGATAAGGACACACCCGATGCCATACAGTGGCCACAAGTGCCGATAGTGTCCGATATGATGGTCTGCTATTCGACTATCGACGGATACGTTTCGTGGCGTAACGAACACCAGGGAACGTGGTTCGGGTCGGCACTGGCCATGGCATTGGAGGATAAGGCCGATAGTGCCGAACTTAACCAGATATTGACCATTGCGTCGGAGATTGTCCATAATAGGTCGACTAGAAACGGGGCCAAACAGGCCATCGAATGGAAGTACAGGGCCTGGACTAAGGCATTGTATTTTAATCCATGATTGGGTTGGCCAGGGAGGTAGGGAGGTAGGGAGGGTAAGGGAAAGTCAACCTTATATATAATATATGTGTGGTATTATAAACAATATACCTTACCTTATATTTACGGTAATTATATACCATATATCAGTATATATATATACTTACATTGTATACAATATATATATATATATAWTTTTTTATATAAATTAATTTTATTTTACATTTATCTAATAATAATAATAATAATAAAGAGTTTTTATACAATTATCATTCAATAATAATAATAGTAGTAATCATAATAAACAATAGTTATGCACCAAAATGTTAGATAATTTTTTTTAGTTAATAAGTTATTAGTTATTATAGTTCATAGTCACTGATTTAAAATAATATTTTTTTAAAAAAAATTATTAATAATAAAACAATAATAATTCAAACCCATTAACTGTATATAATATAATTTTTACAGTTAATTATTGAGGCGTTAACACGATTTCTACACGAAAGTAATATTATAATATTAAATATGATTTTAATTAAGTTAATTACGTTATAAAAAAATAATAATAATAATATCATATATATATACTGTATAATTGTATTACTTATTTATATTAAGTAGTTTTACACATAATTAATACCAAATTACACGCAAAATTGACTGTTTGACCATCGCTTAGTAGAAAAACATGATATTATAATAAGTGTATTATAAAAACTATACAAAAAAGTAATTTTATTTTTCAAAAAAAAAATAAGTATAATTACTCTTTTTTTATTATTATATTATTTTTCATTATTATTATTGTAACATTTATTACATATATATATATATTATATATGCGTTTAGTATCTCAAGTTTATGATCTTTAAAAACTTTACTTTTAATAATAAATAAATTAAAAAATTTATTTATTTTAGTAAAGTATAATTATTATTATTTTTTATTATTATCATATATCGTATTATATAATTTTATCTAATATATTATACTATTAATCACTTTTATAAATATATTAGCTATATATATATATATATATACATATCTTTATACAAATATAAGTGTATACCAAAAATTAAACATTTTTTAAAAAAAGTAATTACTATTTTATCTCTCAATTAATTTATATGAGATTTTATTAAACAATTAAGTCAATTGTGTTTTATTTTTGTTTTTTTAAATATAATTATTTTTAAGCTCAACTGTTATCTCAAGATTTTTACATATAATTTATTTTGCATAATAAATATTAATCCATTATTATTATTATTATTATAACCAAATATTATTTTTATTTGTTTTTTAAAAATTTAAAAAAAACAAATAAAAATAATTACTAAATATATATATAAAGTATATATATATATAAAAATTTTATGAGATACATGGAATCCTGGGACGTATAATTTAGTATAGTTAGTTTTTATAGATTTAAGCTTATGTAGCTAAGCACCGGTAGGTGCCATATCTCTAAAACTATAATAAATATCTAAATTCTGATAATGTGAATTTAAACTAGGTGAAAATTAATTAGACACGTGTTTCGGTAATTTTTAAAAAATTAATAAATTTTAAACAAAAAGCAAAAAAATGTAAAATTTGTAATATTTTGATATTTTCTAGGAAAAAAGTGTCAAGGTATTTTGATATGAAATTAATCTATTATTATTTGTTATTTTATTAGGAATAATTATTCTATTTACAATTTTTAATTATCATGCTTAGTTTTTGAGATATTAAAGATAAACCTTTTTACCATTATATAAATTTAGTAACAAATATAATTAATAAAATTTTATAAGAAAAAATTATATAATGGTAAAAATGTTTTTCTTTAATATCTCAAAAACTAAGCATGATAATTAAAAATTATAAATAGAATAATTATTCCTAATAAAATAACAAATAATAATAGATTAATTTCATATCAAAATACCTTGACACTTTTTTTCTAGAAAATATCTAAATATTACAAATTTTACAATTTTTTGCTTTTTGTTTAAAATTTATTAATTTTTAAAAAAATTACTGAAATATAATATATTTTCACCTAGTTTAAATTCACATTATCAGAATTTAGATATTTATTATAGTTTTAGAGATATGGCACCTACTATATATATATATATATATATGTATCTCATAAAATTTTTATTGATCTAGCTCATTTAGTTATAGAGATATTAAGCAAAAACCAGTTAGCACCCTTCTGTCACAGACTTTATATTTGTCAGAATTTTTTTTAATCAGTGAATTTAATTTTAATTTTAATTTTTTTAAAATTTAATATATATTGATATTAAACATTATTTGATGAGGGTAAATTTGTTTTGTTTTATTTAAATAATTTTAAATTATCTAAGAAATCCATTGCACCGTCTATTAGTACAAAATGAAAAAATTTATAAAATTAAAAAAATTTAAAAAATATAAATAAAATCATAACTTATTTATTTGAACAAAAAAAAATTTAATAAAATTTAAAAAGTTTTTTTTATATCTAATTATATCCAATGGTCTCTTTTTTTACTATATATATATATATATATATATATATATATATAGTATATTGATTAACTATCCCATTAACTATCATTAAAAATTATTTATTACATTAAGAAAAATCACATTGATGATTTATAATTAAAATTTTTTATTATGTTTAAGCATTTTTTTGTTTTACCTTAATTTTTTTATTATTATATTTTTGGTATACTTTAAATATTTACAATAATTATTATTGCCGTTATATTGTTTTTGATTTAAATATGATATTTTTTAAAATATAAATTTATATATATATATATATATATATATATATAAATATAACTTTATATACAGTATATTTATAATATAAATAAATTAGTAATTTTTTTTATAGCATTACAACAACAAATAGCTGCCAATTTATATATAGCTTAGTTTATTATTAATATATATATATATATAATATAATATATTTTATTTGATAACAAAATATTTTTATTGAGATAAAAGCAATCAAATTGCATAACATTTTTATCCAAATTGTTATTAATCTTATTATTTGTTGTTATAGTCTAACAGTTTTTTAGTGTGCATTAAATGTACGTAAAAATTATAATATTATATTTCATTATTATCTAATAATTTTTTAAAAAAATATTAAATAACTATATATAATTAATTAAATGATTATTAATAATTATTGTTGTTTTATATTAGTTGTTATTATTAAACTAAAATAACAATAAAACAAACAAAAATAAATGTTATCCAGTTTACAAATTAATTAGTAAAATATACTAAATATATTAATATTTTATTTAATATATAAAAAAAATTTTATCAGTTTATAACTGTATTATTATTATTATTTTAACTAAATTGATCAAGTACCTCTATTTGTTTAAAACATTAACATGGGTACTTATAAAAAACATAAATGTGATTATTATATATATTGTTATTAATATACAACAAAAAATAAAGTGGAAAAATACACTATAAAAATATACTAATCAGTATTTTATAAATATATATATATATMTATATATATATATATAGATTATGATTAAATATAAATAAATGTTTAATATATATATATATTATACAAATATAAAAAATTATATATAGATTTTTATTGATATTTAATAATAAATGCAAATAAATTATTAAATATTATAAAATATTACAATTATTATTATATCAAATGTTTTATTATTAATATTTGTTATATTTTATTAATAATAATAATACTGTTGTAACCATTTAACTATTAAATGTTTTTTTAAAATTGTTATTTTACTAACCTTATAAATTTGTTTAAAATATATTGAATTTGTATTTAAATTAAAAGTCAAAAATAAAAATTTTGCTGTAATAATATCATATAAAAATTTGAATAAAAATTGAAAGTTTTGAAAAATTAATAATTATTTATTAAATAATATATCACTTAACTTTATATTTTTATTTATTAACCTAATTGATAATATATTTTTTAATAAATATTTTTTAAATAAAATTTTATATTATTATTTATAATCTAAATATAATTAATATTTAAAATTTAAAATTATTTTTGAAAAACTATTTTGTGATTATAGTGAGACATCTGTTGTGATTTTATATTATTAATAATTTTAAATAAACTTTTGATAAAAAAAATATAATAAAAATCGTAAAATACAATTTAAATTAAATTAGTTTGAAATTTGTAATTATTATTATTATTTAAAAAATATTTGCTTATCAATAATATTATGTAATTTATTTAAAAAATACATATTTAATTAAAATTAATTTAATTATATATTCAATTTTAAGTCAAACACATATTATTATTATATATATATATTTTGCATGACTTTAATTAAATAGATTTTTTAATATATATATATATTTATTTATAATAAGTTTATTAACAATATTTTTAAAACAATAATTGTTTAGTTTAATAATGATATTATATTTTTAATTTTAATATACAGTGAATATACAGTATATGAGTTATATACTGACATCTAGTGTATCAACATTTCATATAAGTATTTATAAAAAACCAGTTGAGAATGCTAGAAAGCATTTCCACACGAATTCCTAATCATAATTAAAAATTAAATTCAGTATGATAAAATAAAATCAACTATAGTTATGTAGGGTATCAAACGATTTAGTATGACAAAATAAACAACTATAGTCATGTGGGGTATCAAATGATTCAGTATTACAAAATAAACTACTATTTTCCTAAAAAATAAACTTAAAAACGAAAAAAATAAAAAATCAATATTCAAAAAAATTCAAAAAAAAAATTCAAAAAAAAATTCAAAAAAAAATTCAAAATTTTTTTAATTAATTTTTGGACACCATTTTCTTCAATTTCCTAAAAAATAAACTTAAATAAGAAAAAAAACAAAAAAAAATTCAAAAAAAATTTGTAGCGGATAGTGGATTCGAACCTATGTCCTCGTGGGACAGACAGACCGACAGACAGACAGACAGACCGACAGACAGACAGACTTATAGAATGCATATACGTATTCCTTTCAGGAATTCGTGAAAATTTTAATATTATTTTCATCAAAAAATAAAACTGTAATATTTTAAATAAGCAATATTTTTGAGTAATAAATTTATACCAAGGTACAAATATTAAAATGACTAATACAAATATGAGCCAATTAAAAATTAATAGTTATTTTATTTTAGTAAAAAAAATAAATATTTTTTAACATAAACTATAATATGATTATTCAATTAGATATTTATATATCAAATAATATTAATTAATTAATTAATTAATTAAATATTTAGTATTAATATTTTAAATTTAAAACTTTTAAATATCAATTGTATTGTAATTTATTTAATGTGTGATTCATCAACTAATTTATCGACTAAAACAAACTAAACAAACAAACAAACAAAAAAAAGTTTAATCAAAATTATTATTATTATTCACATAACTTACTGAACAAATTAAATATTTATTTATTTAAATATTTCATAATTAAATAGTCATAATTATCTATATATATATATAATTGCTATATAATAATCAATGCTAAATAATAACAAACAAAAATAACAAACAAAAACAACTTATTTTAATAATTTATATATAGTTATAATAAGTGTGTATTATATTGCTATCAAAATAGGAAATTTTTATTTAATAATTTAAAACAATTTATAGATACATACATACAGTGGGTAATTAAATACCGGTATTTATAAAAGTATATATATATATATATTGTTATTAAAAATAATAGTATTAAAATTTATTATTAGTTATGCTAGATTAATTTACTTTAGATTAATTATCAAGCAGAAAATTCCACAATAAAAAAATAATATTAATCCGAAAAATAAACATTTAGTTTTCCTTATATTTAGCCAATTATTTTTATAATTTATATTAAAATAGATAAATATTTCAACTAAAATGTAGTCAACAAATATATTATCATTATATAATAATAGCAAAAGTTTATTTATATAATTAAAAAATAAATTTTTCGTTTTAATTATAAAAATCCAAACAACATTATTAGTATAATTATTATTTTTATTATAATAATAATTATTATTATTATGAATCATATATATTATATATATTAACAAAATTTCCAACTAATTTAATATCTATTGTGTTATCGCATATATATATATATAAATTATTACACGTATGTTAGAAAATAAATTAAAAAATAAAAAAACATTTAAACTATTATAATATAATTATTATTATTATCATAGTATATAACTAAATACATTGTATTTAAAAAATATTAAACAGTGTATATAATATCCAGGTTTTATTTGATTTGATTTTTTTGTTGTTGTTGCTGTTAATGTAAAATATCAGATTAAATATATTTATTTTTTTACTGATGACATATTGATAATATAAAACATAAAACAATATGACCCTGAATTGGATCAGATTTTATTTATTATTTTTTTTAAAAAAAAATTGTTAAAAGTTTTATTTATTATTTTGAAATACAGAAAAATTTTTTTATTTGATTATAGGGGAGGGGGGACATAGAAAAATATAGACAACTAATTTTGATGTCAATACAAATTTATAATTTTATTTTTAATAAGATATACACACACTCTGAGATCATATAACATGTGGTGGTTTTTATTGATGATATTTTATATGTAATTTTATTGTATCATATATTATATTGTATATATAATGTGAAACCATTATTTAATTGCTTAGGTTTTTTGTGGTAGTTAGTTAGGATGTACTGTATATCCCCCACAATCTAATTGCAAGGGAAAGCCGATACCCGAAGCACTTTCCTATCTAAGAGACGACAGCATTGCCGATACAGTCATGCAATCTCTCTCTCTCTCTCTCTCTCTCTCTCTCTCTTACCTTATGTGTGATGATGTGTATGAGTCTTACTTTCTCTCTCTCTCTCTCTCTCTCTCTCTCTCTCTCTCTCTCACACACACACATACACACACATATGTGTGATGATGTGTATGACACACATACACACACACACACACACATCTTACACACATTCTCTCTCTCTCTCTCTCACACACACACACACACACACACACACACACACACACACACACACACACACACACACACACACACACACATAGCTCCGTCCTATCCTTGAATTTAACGGATCAACCAATAAATAGACTGATTTTGTCTGTGAAAAATATATCAGATAAATATATATATATATATATAATAAAATCAACAAAAAAAAAACTTCAACTTTCAATATATATAAAACTTGTTTTCTCTCACACAAATATAAACTTTAAAATACAGGTATAGGTGTTTATATACAGTATATATATATATATATGTTTGTATAGTACATGTATTATCATATATACTGTATAACTAAACTGTATAGTCCTGTAAATTAAGTGTGTGTGTGGTTTTTTTGTTGGTGTGTTTGGTGTGCTTCTCATAATATAATAAATGCCATACCATTGACTGGATTCAATAAATACAGTCATAATAAGTGYCMCCRAAAAAAAAATGGATGTACAAGAGGTCACCGAAAGTGATTCCCATAGAAATTCAATCAATAATAATAATGTTTTGCCACAAATCAATGTGACTAACGAGGACTCGGATACCGATTCTGTTGACGACAACTATACCAATGCAACCAATGCCGACACATACAGTGCGGCCAGTATTGGCAGCTGCGATGATACGACAACACAGGGAGACAATCTATCGGTTAGAAGTGGCGGTGGTCTGGGAGGTCTGGGTGGAGGAGGGTTCGCCACATTAGATCCGTCGACTTGCGATACACTATCGGTCAGTGGCTACCAGTTTCGTAGGGATTCAATCAGACAGTCCCTTCAGTCATCGCAAATTGATTTGGGAAATGCCATTGAAGTCAATAACGTTTGTTTTGGTTACAATAAAAAGACATCGGTTTTGTTGAATATCAGCATAAATGTGCCCAAAGGTATAGGTGCCCAATAATATCTGATTTTGTTTTAAAAAAATTTATTTTCTAATATATTATTTTTTTGGTGGATATAATTTTTTACGCTTTTTTTATTGCTTATTATTATCATATATGATATGACTATTATATGATAATATGCGAGTAATATATATATGCTGTATATTACAGTATAAAGTTTCCTAACTATTGTATAATATATGATAATATATATATATAATATTTTTTGGCGTATTTATTATATAATACAGTAATAATATATACGATAGTAAATATATATATATACAGTATATTTCAATATATGGCTATATATCAAAAAATAAATAAAATTTACCGCTAATTTTTATTGATCAATAAAAATACTATATTTTATATATGATTTATTGTCTTAAATATATTATACTATATATACTAGTATATATACAGTACTGTACAGTATTATAATACTGTATATAAAAATATATTATATATAAAAACATTATTATTATTAGTATTTTTTGTTTGATATCTCTTTTTTGATATTTTCATTGCTTGCGGTTAGACATTCAAAAAATGATTAAATACTTTATATTATATTTATATATTGTTATATTATATATTTATTACTTATAAAAAAAAACATTTTTTTAATACATATTATTCAAACATAACATCTAATAAATAGCATATAATTTTTTTTTTTTTTAAATTAAATATCTTTTAACTACTTATTATTTTTAACGAGAAAAACAAAAATTAAAAATTCAATTTCTCTTTAAAAAAATTTCTAAGAAAAAACATATTAAAAAAAGAAAGTGAAAATAGTTTTGTAAATTAAATATATTTTTTTAACAAATTTTTATTTAATTTTTTAAAAATACATACACATTTATTTTATGCCCAGGGCTATTTTTTGTTATGGGAATGTTGTTATTTAGACATATAGTAGTGTCACACTAAATAGTCACCAAAAATAGACGATAAATAATATGATGGCCTCTAGTATTTTTTAAATATTAATTATACAATATTATTTAAAATAGATAATTTTTATGTGTATGTATGTTGTGTGTGTGTGTGTGTGTGTGTGTGTGTGTATGTATGTATGTATGTATGTATGTATGTATGTATGTATGTATGTATGTATGTACAGTATGTATGTATACATATATGTATGTGTGTGTAGTTTAATATTGTACATTAATATATATATATATATAATATGTATATGTGTGTGAAAAATCAATTTCATAGTAGCAATCAAATAAAATTATCATGGTTATTTATCATATACACACTGGGGCTTAGATAGCTATTATACTATTATTATTACACGATAGATATGTTTTGTTTTTATTTTTAATTTTTTTAACAAAAAAAAAATTTTGACAGATAAATATGATAAATGTTTTTAATATTATTAGTAAATATTATGATAACAACTACAACAACATTATTTTTTTATATAAAAATATTATACAATTATTTGTTTATTTATATATATATWTATATGATGTATTATTTATTACAACCACATATTAGATGTTTTTTATTACTATTATTATTATAGTAATAATAATAATAATAATAGTATATTATTACAATATAATAGACTATATTATTATTATTATAACAGCAATAATAATCACTGACTCTAAAAGTGTGATAATTATTTTGTTAAATAATTTTTTTTTWTTTTTATTTATTTATTTTAACATAAAACTTATTATATTACAAAATTATAAGGGGAATTATTATTATTATTTTTTTTAATAATTAATAAATATATTAAATATATATATATATTAGAAATAATTATTAATTATTAGTAAAATTTTATTTTAGTTGAAGGATTTTTTTTATAAAAAATAATAATAATATTAATAATAAAAACATTAAGAGATAGTGAAAGTGTGCGGTAAAAACTGAAATTTTTTTTATATAATTTATAATTTTCATTAATATACTATAAATCAAAAGTAATAATAATAATAATAATAACTAAATAACATTATAACTCAAAAAAAATCAAAACCAAAATAAACGACATTCAAGTGTTTTTTTCTATAAAAAAAAGTTAAATAAATATTTTAAACTTAAGTATATAATAGTAAATATATATATATATATATTAACACATAATTACATTGAAAAACGAAAGTGTAAAATATATTTATTTTTTTAAATAAATTTTTATTTAATATAAATTTATTTTGTTTGAAAAAATAATATTTATTTCGTTAACTTATTGCTGCTAACACTTAAAGACCTTTAATTATATACTAATAATAATAATAATAATAATAATATTATTATTATATTATAAGTGAATATTGTTATATATAAAACAACAAAATTTTTATGTTTATTTAACTTTTACCATTTAGTTACTATAAATTCAATTTGTATTTTATTTATTTTTTTGCTAATCAAATAATCAAGTGTGCAAATATTATATATATATATTTAAATACTACTAAACATTATTATTATTATTATTTACATTAAAATACACAATGTTTTACACACACAAAATGGTTTAAATTTTTAATTAAAAATAACGATTAATGCTAATTTTGAAAATTATTGACTTTAAAAAGTAAAATTAAATTTTTACGAAAAAAAAGTTTATTTTTAAAAATTAATTAAATGAGAGAAAATTTTTTTAGAGAGAGAGAGAGAGAGCTATACGTCATATATATGCTAATACTTAGAGAGAGAGAGAGAGARATAAAAATCATTGAAAATAACATTTGAATTAATTGAATTGATGTCTTATATACACATTTCAAAAATCAATGTTAAAATTGATATTTTATATATATATATATAAATTTATATATATATATATATACATAATTTATTTATACATAAATTTTGATATAAGTTTTTAACCAAACATTTAGAAAAATATTTATTAAAAAAACTATTAATTTTTCTTAAAGAGAGAGAGAGAGAAATATAAAAAATTATGTATTTATTAATATTTACCTGAATATAAAAATTATATTAATTAATTAATTATTTAATTGATTCATTTATTTGTTGAATAACAGGAGCTAATAATATATACATATTTTTTGATTATTTATTAATAGAAATATTAAATATTTATGATTTATTTTTTTTGTTGGTTAGTTAGTCAGTCAACACATTCCTCTATTATTAATATAATTTTTTTAAATATGATATTATAATAACAATAATAATAAACCAAAAATATTTTACAGATATTATTATTATTATATATTGTTATAATCTCAGAAATATACCATTTCTATGACATAAATATATCCTTGAATAATAAATAGATGATAATATTATTTTATTAAATAATAATAATAATATATATATATATATAAAAATGTTTCACAGATTCTCGTTAATATATTAAGAAATAATAATAATAATAAAATTATTAATATTTATACAAAAAACATGATAAATATATGGCAACAAAAAAATCATATGATATATACAGTAATAATAATAATAATATTAGAAAATTTTTGGGAATAATTGGGGCATAAATTATGATTATTATATAATGAAATAAATAATTTTCAAACTTATAAGTTTTAAAAATATATATATATATATATATATATATATATTACTGTAATAACAATAATAACATAATTGACAAATAAAATTATTGAATCATATGATACCCTAAAACTATATTATATTAAAACTATATTATATTATATAATAATAATAATATTATTATTAGATTATTATAATATCTATATAGAGAATATATTATGTAAATTTATAATAATAACAATCATATATTAAAAATTATTTTTTTTATTTGCTTTTTATTTTTTTTAGTGTCTTATTATTATTATTAGATATATAGTATACTATAGTTTATATTAATTTTTTTACCTAAACTATATGTTTGTTTTTCACCCACCCTTTCAAAAAAACAAACAATAGGCAAAATCTATGCACTGTTAGGGTCGAGTGGGTGCGGAAAGACAACACTGTTGAGACTGTTGTTGGGTCGTATGAAACCATCGAAAGGTCATATCAGTGTATTTGGCGAACAACCGGGTGCTAAGACATCCCATATACCCGGACCGGGTGTCGGCTATATGCCCCAGGAGTTGGCATTGTTTACCGAATTTACTATTGAGGAAACACTGAGATATTTTGGTTCATTGTATCACTTGGACAGTGATTACATTGAAAATCGTATTGAGTTTTTAATTAAATTGTTAAATTTGCCGCCAAAAAATCGGAAAGTATCGCAACTGAGTGGTGGCCAACAACGTCGGGCATCCATAGCCGTAGCATTGTTTCATAGGCCACCGCTTCTCATATTAGACGAACCGACGGTTAGTTATAGTTTTATTGAATATTAAATATTATTATTGTTAACTATGAAATGTCAATCAATCAATCAAAAAAAAAAATCTATTGAAAAATATCAATCAGAAAATAAATATTAATTATATATAATATAATATATAAAAAAAACATTTATAATTATTATTATTATTAAATTTTTTTAGGTGGGCGTCGATCCTCTACTAAGGTGTCGTATTTGGGAATACCTCGAGAGTCTATGTCTTAATGAAAGTTAGTTTTTTATTAATTTATAATTAATTACTTAATTAATAACTAATATATTTATTATTATTATTATTATTTAAAAAATAAATAATAATTATCATAATTTTTTTTATAAAAATAAAACTACTATAWATATGATGGGTATTATATAACAGTACAGTATTGTTATTACCGTAATATATATATATATATCTGTATATATCTGTATATATCTGTATATATCTGTATATATCTGTATATATCTGTATATATCTATATATATCTGTATATATCTGTATATATCTGTATATTACTGTAATAACAATACTGTACTATTATATAATAGCAACCATACCCTCCCGTCCCTAATAATAATTATAGATTTAAAAAAATCACTAAATTAATACATTATCAATCAATCAATCAATCACAGGTATGACAGTCATCATAACTACACACTATGTAGAGGAATCCCGGAGCGCCCAGACTATCGGTTTTCTACGGTTCGGCCGAATACTGGCCCAATCGAGTCCAGCAAAACTACTGTCCCGTTACGACTGTGTATCACTGGAGGACGTATTTTTGCGGCTATGCGAAGAAAACTGCGAAAACCTGAAACGTCGACTATCGGTAAAACTGCAGAACCCGGCGGCCACTGGCCGTAAAATGTCGATATTTCCGGCCGATCAGATCAGTCCGTTTTTGGATCCGGAAATTGCGGCGAAACTATGGGTCGAACCGAAATACAAACAAAAATCCATTGATTTGAAACGGTTGAGGGCATTGATCTATAAAAACTATATGAAACTTAAGGGTAATCCGGCACTGGTATTTTTTTTCCTAATATTACCGGTCGTACAGATTACCTTGTTTTGTGAATCGGTAGTCAAAACACCCGATCGGCTACCGGTTGCTGTCTATAGTCCGGAAATTGGTGGCAACTTATCGGATGCTTTTCTCGACTCAATTGATCGGAAAATGATTAAACAAATCTATCATAAAAGCCTGGAGTCGGCCATCAGATCGGTTGAAAAGGGAAAGGCATGGTATGTATGACTGACTTACTGTCTGTGTGTATGTGTGGATAATATATGTTAAATTGACATTTAGTGGGAATTTATTAGGAAATTATAGGGAATTTAGTGGGAATTTGGTGGGAGTTTAGTGGGAGTTTAGTGGGAGTTTATAGGGAATTTAGTGGGAATTTATAAGGAATTTAGTGGGAATTTATTGGGAATTTAGTGGGAGTTTAATGGGAATTTAGTAGGAATTTACTCAAATTTGGCCAAAATTGTTGTTTAAAAATGCAATAAAAAAATGTTCACCCCCCATCCCTATACCCCCAAGCTTTTTCGAAATTTTTACCATTTAACCCCTCCCACACTATACCCCACCCCCTGAAATCAAATACCTTTAGCAAACCTGATTTTTGATAATATGTTGTTTTTTATGTGAGCACAGGTATGCCATTGAAATCAGTCAAAATTTTTCGGACGCTTTCGACATCCGTGCAACCAATCCGAACGATATGACCGACGATGAGATAGAGGACAGTAAGATAAAGCTATATCCGGACCATTCGGATAACTTTATCCAGCAGTTTATCTATCAATCGCTGTTCGAGTCCTATCATCAGTTTCTGGCCACATATGTCCGATCGATTGGCCTGAATCCGGCCACTGTATCGTTGCCGATAACCACTCAGCCGCCTGTTTACGGTGTCATAGAGTACTCGCTGATCGATTCGATAGCACCGGGAGCTATAGTAGCTATTATCTATACGACACCCCTATTGTTGGCCTCATTTCTAATTGTATTGGAGAAAAAAGATGGTTTACTTGAACGTAGTTTTGTCAGTGGGGTTAGGAGTTTTGAGGTACTACTGTCCCATATGTTTACACTGGTACTGGCACTGTTGGTACAGGTTGGCCTGTTGATGTTTGTTACGTTTATTGTTTTCGGGGTGAAAATTGCCGGTCCCACCAATCAAGTCTATTGGCTAGTGTTTATGCAGGGCTTACTCGGAATCATATTAGGACTGTCCATATCGGCAGTAGCGCCCAACGAAGTAGCCGCACTGGTAAGTAAAACGGGTGGGTGTAGGGGTGGGTAGGGAATGGGAGGATATATCTACTACTACTACTACTACTACTACTACTAGTATACTGTTTACTCTATCAGTTAATATCTTATTGATAACTTTTATATTAAATATATTGTACTGTATGCAGGGGGTGGATGGTAGAGGGGGGTATTTAAATGATAATTAATCCCAAAAATAAAATAAATCATAATTATATTTATATATTTCAATATACTTGACCTCAAATTAATTAGTTAATTATTTTTTATATATAAAATCAACTAGTTTATAATTATATAGTATATTTATATTTTAATACTTGCTAAGCAATTAATTAATTTAAAAAAAATTTTAATATAAAATATAAATAGATTTTTTCAATTTATCGATAAATCAAATATAAAAATCAAAACTAAACTATAAAAAGTTTTATTTTTTTAAAATCAACTAGTGAATAATTATATAGTCTATATATATTTTAATACTAGTTAACCAATTAATTAATTATTTATTTATTTAAGAAAAAAATTTTTTAATATCAAATATATGAATAAAAAGATTTTTTAAAATTTATTTATAAATCAAATATAAAAGTCAAAACTAAACTATAAAAAGTTTTATTTTATGAGTTTAGTTGGGTATCCTATGATCAGTTAGAATACTATTTATTTTATTTTTTTTTTTTAAATCAACTAGTGAATAATTATATATATATTAATACTTGCTAAGCAATTAATTATTTATTTTTAAAAAAATTAATATTAAATATAAATAGATTTTTTTCAATTTATCTATAAATCAAATATAAAAGTCAAAACTAAACTATAAAAAGTTTTATGAGTTTAGTTG